ATTGTAGTTTACTCAGCCTCTTCTTTAATTTAAAGGCTAAACAAGTTTCAATGAATAATGACATCTTCATATGTTTTAAATTGAAGCTGACTTTGTTAAATGTCAGCTATGACATATAAACCAATACTAAAAGCAGTAAAATAACCTGTGCAATTATGTGTGGTGATCTGGATGCACAAGATTAAAGAGAGCAGCAACAGGAATAGGTTCAGCATGGCAGACCATAAATTTTTTAAGTTAATGTTAAGAGAAGGATGCGGAATGGGCACTTCTGGAAACAGGAACCGATTTCTGGGACTAAAACTTAGATAATTAGGGAAGTAAAGTAGTGTCAGCTATCTCATCTGCTCTAGCCCTAACTAGGAATTTTGTTCAAGATGGGATATTTCTGACAGTGAGTCAGTCCATGGTAAACTTAAAGCCTCATTTATCCTAGACCCAGTTAGCTTTGGTGCTGATACTTGTTTGGCTCTGGCACTTCCACCACAAGAAATGATTGCCTCTGTGTTGTAGAGATTGAGCAAGACATTTCCAATAAATTGACCTAAACCTTCTTCCTGGGGGTCTTTTAGCTCCAGATGGTCTTCAAAGCCCTTTCTCCCCATGCTTGCCTTTTTCATACAGAGAGACAGAAAGTGAATGAAGATGGCACTAAACGTTTCTCTTCTATTGCTTTACCGAATTATTTTTTTCTTGTGCATCAAATCCAGTTTGTTAAAGCCCCTGATTTTCTGAATACTACTCAAAATAGCAGAAACTCTTTCCTCTAAAGGGATTTTTCTGCCTTGTGCAATTCTTAATGTTGTTTTTACCCATTGTCATAATGACTATTTTCGTATGGGTTTTACGGGTTTGAGATGCACAGTGAAAGCACAGCTGCTAATTTGTTCTGGCAATTTGACTGGAAATTGCCAGGTACTGAGCACTCCCAGACGTTTTAATGGAAAGTTTCAGCTGGACTGTCTCAAGGGTGTGCTTATTTTGCTTAAACTGGTTCAGTCGTTGCTCATCATTTCAGAAACTCTTGGCCTGTTACTTTTTCAAGTATAGATTTGGAAATAACTCTCTCTCGTTAGTATTTTTATTAATGAATACTTAGTAAATTGACAGATTTTAAGTTACAGTAAAATTATTTGCAATTAATGGTATCTTTAGGAAGCAGGAAAACCAAGTCGAGATTTGTTTTGTTATCATTTGCATTTCAGTGTATGGTTTTGTCTTGTAGTTCACTATGGGGAGCAAACTGTCTAGCTTGTTAGTAACCACAAGGAAGAGATCCTGTGAGCTCTCTTCTGCACTTGCTATCAGAAAATTAACTGCTCTTGGTGCAAAGCTCTCTGAATCATCAAATTGTTCAGAAAACCAGTAGGCAGCGTGAAACCCTGTCGGGTCATGGTCACCAGAAGTCATCCTATCACTTGCTGGTCAGGTCAGAAGGTTGAATTGTCCCACAACAAAGCTATTGCAGTTTCTCTTACATGAAGTAGCACTTGTGCTGTGAAGTGCATCCGCCAGCCTGCTTAACCCTGGCCATGTGGTATCATCGTGGAGGCAGGGGATAATTGGGAGTCTGTGTATGGATGACTACCTCTTCTAATCAAGGTTTTCGAGCAGGAAGTTTCTGTCAATTTAGGGATGAAGAGCAAATGTACAAGGTGCCTGATCTCCAAGAATATCTCCTGGCAGGGAGCAGCTGTCACAGTCACTTGCTGCTCTTGAGGACACGTGCAGCAGAGGGCTCGGTGTAAGGGTGCTGTGCTTCTGGCTCTGGTGAGGGAGCCTGTTAGTGACTGCAGCATCTTGTAAGCATTTAGCAACCAAATGAAAAGGCTTTTGTCAAATGTTTGCAGCACGGTGTTTGTTACAAAGAACATCTATATAACTATAAGGCATTGTAAAGCATGCTGAGTTGTTTTAACACTTAAAGCACTCTTTGTATTTCTGTATTGTTTAGAAGTATATGCATCACAATAATGTATTTTGCAATTTTTGGTACCTTTAGGTATTTATGCCAAAGGGCATCCAACTCTGTGCATCCAGACTGCTGTGTTTGCACGCCACAGATTGCAGAGAGAGGGAAATGTGCAAAGGGGTTTCAGAACAAGAAACACTGAAAAGAAGTAATCTGTAGTTAAGCAACTGACAGGCTGGGCAGCATGTTAATTTGTTTCCACGGCCATGGGAGCTATCTATGTCCATGTGAGACTCTCAGTTTAGACCTCTGTCTAGAAAGAAGGTCAGGGATGGGCTTGAGCGTGGCAGCTGTCTCAGTGGAGTTCAAAGAACAACCCCTTGGCAGAGGCACTCTGCCTTGCGTGGCTTGTGGTACACCACAGTTACAAACCTGCGGTCCCAGTCAGGTAGAGCTTCATTAAACTCATCAGTTGAATTTCTTGGGAGAAATCTTGATGCTGCTGAAATCAATAGCAAAACTTCCACAGACTTTTACTCAGAGCAAGTTTTCATCTCTTGTTTTTGGTAAGTATAGAGAAACAGTAACTACAAAGGCCAAGGTTTTCAAAGCTACCAGAAAGATTTAAAGTGCCCTGAAAACAGGAATTGTGGGTGTTCATTTCCCTTGGCAGTTTTTGCAGTCTGAGTTCTATGTTAATGGAAAACTCTGATGAAATATTAAAGACCCTCAGAGTCAAGACACATGAAATTCGCTGTATGTGGATTGCTGAACTGGCCATTCAGCAAGGGCCAGCCTTCATCTTGCAGTGCACAAAGGTTCAACTCCAGGGCATGAGATTCTGTAGCATGCCTGTGAGTGGTATTTTCCTTTCAAAAGGAAAATTTGAGTTGCGGACGGACCAGATTTAGACAAAAAATGTAAAGTAAAAATACATAAAAATACCCTTGGGTTTGCTGACACTGAGTTATGCTGCCACGGAATAGAGCTGAGTAGAGGGACAAATCAGCGATGTAGAATAATGAAGTTCTTTTTTTTTTTACATCTGCTTACTTTTTGATCTTTCCAACAGAAAACCAAGTAACATTGTCAGCTAACGAAGTATATATGGAATTATAACTGTGGCACAACCTAGTTAGACACTGTTCACATGTACATGCAGGTAGTAACTGCTGAAGAGAGCTTTTTTTCTCCCTCCATTATAACCCATGTATCAGTGTTAAAGGGCGGCACTTCTTTTGAAGCACCACAGCTTCTTTTGTTTGAATTTGGTGGGGAGGTGGGATAAGACTGGCTTCCACTGTGAGCTGTAAGAAGTAAGGCTGCTTGAGAGTATACAGCCCCTTAACACTGCCTATATTCTGTAGGTTGATAGGGATGGAATTTCACCAGTTAACAAAAAAAAAATCACTCCCATCCTCAGTGAAAGCAGCAAGAGACCCCAGGAGAGGAATGTGACATCTTTGTCTGTTTCCACATCACAAGGTCAATAAAATGTTCTTGTCTTACTACAGCAGAGAAAAGGCGAGATTTGAATGTTCTGTAAATCATCTAAGTCAATCCTTGTCCTGAGCTACTCTCGGGGATGTAGTTGTTTGGTAAGTTGTTTTTTTTTTTTTTTTTTTTTTTTTTTTTTTTTTTTCCAGAGACCTTTTTTGTTAAAGAGAGAGGAGTGGAAGATTCCCTACAGTCCCTTAGAGAGTTTGTGTGTGCTATTAAAACCCAAAAATAGCTTAATCTCTTAAATTTTCTTTCTGGAACAGAAGTGAACATCATGATCAATGTGGTCTACTATCATTCTTTGTCCTAGTCTTGAGGAATGTCTTCCAGCATGAGTCTGACTAGGACATAATTCTCCTGTCATGGTCTAGTTGCCTCATCTGTCAAGGTTATGGTATTTTTTTAGTCATTCATTTGCTGAATCAGAATCTGTTTTGTTTGTTTGTTTGTTTGTTTCCCCTTCCTCGTGTGTCTCCATTGCCAGTTTCAAAATCTGAACAAAGCGAATCATTTCTTCTCACAGACTTCCAAGAGGATAAAAATTGAAAGAGTACTGGAACTGGGAAAATTTACCTAAAAGCCATTTTCATTCTGTTCTCTCATTTGTATTGGAGGCTCTGTGCAATTGTTGAGTTTCAGACAGACTACCGATCCTTTTTATATTGCTATTCAACACAGAACAGCAGTGGTAACTCTATAGTTCCACGTTCTTTGCCAGTTGATCAGGATCAAGAAGTTAAGCAGAATGTGTTCGTAAATCCAATCTGTGTCTTTGCACTGAGGGAGACAATATTCTCTACTTTTGTTCAGAAAAGAAAATTGAGAAATAATCCTATTTTAAGTATCTAAATGATAGAATTTGTGTGTGTGTGCTTGAATTGTATTTTTTATGAATTTATTGTCCTAATACAGTTCTCTTCAGTAAGTAATGCATGTTACCAATGAATAGAAACTGTCTTAGTGATTACCTTGTTTCCTGACTAATCCAAGTAAATGTTCCCACAGACATTAAGCAAACCTAAATGTTGTTGCCAAAAGTCCCCATGTACAGCAAATCTGTAGACTTGATCCAGGGGAAATAGGTATGTGTTATGACATTAAACAGGGCTGGTTCTCTGTTTACAAAACAAAAGTAACAGCAATCTGAACTAACAAATCTCCTAGAAGATTTTTGTTGGAAAATTGATGTAGTATTAAATTGAGATATTAAGAATTACAAAAGCTGATAAAACTTTTACCAAAGTTTTACTAAAGTTTACTAAAACTGTTACTAAAAGATCTTGTGCTTGCAGTCTTCTTCTAGGTTTTAAATGTTGCCAGCCTGGCAGAGTGGTAGACCAACTTCAGTCTCTGGAGGGGACCACACAGGTTTTGTTGATTCAGTCAGTAATACAGAAAGAAAATAACTACTTCCCACCTGTCTTGAGAATACATTTTGAAAAAAATCTAGTTAACATGAAGGCCAGCTACTGACCAAAGACATTTTATCCCTCCAATGAGGGAGGATTAAGGATAAGTACACAGAAGTTCTGCCAATGCTTTACATGACTTTTTTTGACCTGTTTTTATTTTTTCCCATTGTTTTCAGGTATCAGTATCCTAAGACCTGCAACATATTTAAACAGAAGTTAACATAACTGTTCACTGAATGGAGCTACCTGAAAATTCACAACTGCCAGAGAACTTCGTGCTGTCAGAGGAAAAGGACAGACATTTCAACAGTCCATTTCTGGCTCTTGGTCTCACCTTTGGGTAAGTGAGTATTTTAGTGCGTCATGGTACAGAAGACACATGGGACAGAAGACAAGACAGAAGACAAATAATCCTGTTCAACCTACAAAAGGTATGATGGTTTTGAAATACAGAGGTCTAGACCCACTTTCACATTTCTTAACAGTGTTGAGATGATAAGATGATGTGTTACAACATTACGTCATTAAGATGAGGTGCTACTGATAATTAAGTTCTTTTGATAGCAAAATAATTCTGCAATGAAGATAATTTCTGTCATGCAGGCTCTCACAGTAGCATTCAAAAAGAAAAGGAGGATGTTTTGAACTTCTACTGGAAGACTGACATCACACTTAAAGATGATATGAGGAGTGATATCGGGTCTGTACATTGCTAACACGTTATTTATACATGCTATATGTTAACTTGCCAAACTGGAGAGTTTGTCACGTGGAGAACCAGGCAGTGCAGAATGGGTTGACACAGTCTCAGAAGATACAGGTCATGAGAGCAACAATTTGTTTTGACAGCAGTTGTGTTTCTACTACCAGAAATGCTCTCTGCTTTTCTTAAATACTTCTGACATACTGCATGGCATTTATTTTTCTGCCAAATTAATTATGCAGCTTCCCTTTTCACCCTGCCATCAGTAGCATCATTTTATCCAGGGGTGAGCTGGAGCCTGAAGCTGGCCCGAGTGGGCTGGCTGGGCCCAGGCGAGCTGTGCCAGAACATCAGGCTGTTTCTGTGTGTCATTCCCCAAGCCAGGGCAGTTCCTGCTCCCCACCACAGATCTGAGCTGTGTTTTCTGTGCTGTGTGGCACTCAAATTAGACTTACCTGGCAGATCTGCTTATGGTAAGATGGTAGGACAGACCTCTTTGTATCTTACACAGAATGGTTTAGGTCAGAAGGGACCTCTGGAGGCCATGTAGTCCAGCCCCCTCTCAAGTAGCAGGGAAAGAACATTTAATTCTTCATCGCAGAGTGCCATGAAAGTCATAGGTGAGCTTTGTTTGGTGTCCAGTGTGTTCTCTCTAGAAGTATGAAGGCAGACTTTGAAAGCCATGGAAGCAGAATGCTGCATGCCAAGTTATCTGTATTCTTTTTAAGTTTTTAATAGTGTTTTGTACTCATATATGTTGATCCTACTTGGATTAGCTGTAGGTAAACTACTCTAAAATCCATACTTGCATGGAGACCCGACTGTGATTCTATTTGTGTGATGATAACCACAGCTAATGGCATTTTTCTAATGAGTTTATGAAATTCTGGGGAGACTTTTATTATTTTGTTCTTGGATTTTTTTTCTGCATATCTTTCCCTGAAGTATAGTTTAGCTTTTTGTTAGTCTGTCAAATAGACATTCTCACATTCTCAAGAGAAGATTGGGTGTTTTTTTTTTTTTCCTGAGGCCAGCTGTTTTCTAAGAAGAAGAAAAAAGAGTTTTTTTTTGTTTTTTTTTGTTTTTTTAATCGATTTAAACATGAGTTTGGGAGGAATTTGGATCTTTCTTTCTTTTGTAACTGTAGAAAACTTCTGTTGAGTGCATGTCCCCATGATTTTCTTCAACAGCATGTACTGTGGTATTACAGAATACACAAGAATATAATAGAGTTAGACCTGAATGTAGCAATATTTTGTTGTCAGTTATGTTAGCTCAGAAATGCCTCTAACATTGTTAAAAGTAATCCAAGATGGAATCTCTTACTGCCTGTTAGTTGTCTCTTGATGATGATTATTATTTGATATTTGTTTCTTCATGGAGGTAGATATTCAAGAAAAGAGTGATGTTCCCATCAAAACTATTTTCCTGTATACTAAATTAAAACCTGAACAAAAAGAAATGGTTTTGCCAGATACGATAAAGTTTTTATTATGAATGTCTCTTTAACATATTTTAGATACTTAGAATGCTTTCAAAATTATTCGTAACCTTGCAAAGCCATTTCTTGAGACAAATAGATAGGTTGGTTTGTTTGAACATCCAGCAGAGAAACTGGATTGCTGAATTACCACCAGTTATTATTCAAGTGGGTTTTTTCTCTAAAGGCTGCTGCAGCCAGGGACATTCATCGGCGTAGCCCAGTGGAGACTTCACTTCCTACACACAGGTTTGGGAAAAGCCCATTTGTTTCTGAACAATTACAAATTCAAAATGTACAGGGCTTTAATATGCTAATATTGTCACAATGATTTTTTTTTTTAAATTTATGAAAGAAACAGATTGAAGGAAATCTTGTGCTTTATTATCAAGATCTGCTGGAGGTAGAATCTATCAGTCTTACCTTTGTCTTGAAGTCCAGTAATTCTGCATTCCAGTGATTAATTTGCTAGGAAGTTCCATCATTCAGCACCCTTGAATTGCATCACTGAGTTTTTATGAAACATTTTTATTACTGACTGAAATATTTGGAAAAAAAATGGTTTAACGACTCTTGAGGCACATATTCTGAGTGAAAAATAAATAAATAAAATAGCCCAACTTCTTTCAACATGCAGATCTGAAACACTGTTAAAGAATCAAAGCCCTCCCTATCCTTTACGCTTTGCAATCTGTGCTGGTGTTCTTTTAAGGTGAGATGTTCTCAGATATTGATGCTATTGAGAGCTTTTCTATTGAGGCTGAAGTTTTGTATTAATTACAATAGTAAGTGGCATTTAGAAACATGAAATGAAATAGCTTGAAAACTTCTAAAACTACTCCAACATTGCTTTTGAATTTCATTTTAAAATATCAGTCTTGGATATTTGTTAATAGAAGATAAATAAGAAATTATAGAAATAAGAAATAATAAAAGCAATATATATTCAGGGAGAATTTCTGTATAGAAGAAACATAGTTTGCTGCATGGATGTATAATTAACAGAGAATTAAATTTACATCTATGATTTTTGTTACAGATATATTGGAGATTTGTAGTTGGTTTTAGAAACGCTGTTTCCTCATAAACTATAAGCCTGCATTTTTTTTTTAGGAATGAGTAGTGTTAGGATTTTTTTTAAACCCTTCCCCAAATAAACTATAAGCCTGCATTTTTTTTTAGGAATGAGTAGTGTTAGGATTTTTTTTAAACCCTTCCCCAAATATACTCCCATTTATTGTTGTTTCATCAGTCAATGCATGGGAAATTGCCAGAACAAATACTGCATTGTTTTCTATGCTTTTAGATGAAAATAGAAAACAATAATAATAAATAAATAACAGAATACATGTATGAAAGAACAATCCATCAGTGTCTGCTGGAGCAGAGGAGAGACATCTCCTCTCAGCCAGGATGGCGCTGGGCTTATGAACTTCTGAAGTTGGGAGGGATGGAGGAAGCATCCCTTTCCGTTTGTGCCACATCTTTTACTTCTTGCTGATTAATTGCTATTGGCTGTTGCTGGAGAGAAGATGCTTTACTGAGCTGGTGCGTTTGGGTTTTACTTGGTGCAGTTGGTTTTTACAGCCATGGTAATGTCAATGGTTTGTAAGATTGCAGAGAGATCAGGCCTGGAGCAACCCTGTTAATCTAATCGAGATACTAGGCATATTTTTCAAGGATGGTACTGTGCTTCTTCCACACCTGCTTCTCTCCTGTTCTGTTTCCACTGCCATCTGCACCATCACTCATTTCTGAGTAAGAAGTAGGAAAGTGAAGGTATATTCACTTCATCAGTGAAAATGACAATTGGTACCTTTACTTTTCTAAAGCGTGTCAAAGTGTGTTAACAAGATCTTTAGGTCTGCAGAATTTAGGGATCACACAATAGCATAAAATAGGGATAAATACTCTTGAGCAGAATCTTTGGATGAATTTTCAATTCTCTGATTTAGAAAAAGAAGAAAAGCAGAAATGAGGAGTTGTTTAATATGCTGACTGGACAACAGTTGCAGTAACAGCAGGGGTGTGAGCAGGGGCAGCGCACCCCTCTACAGGCAGCCATAGAGCAGGAAGCCTTCTTTTCATTAGTTCTGCTGTCTCCATTCTCAGCTTCTTACTGCTTCCAGTTAATGGGAGATGTATCTGAAATACACAAGGGAAATAAAAAGAAGGACAATGATAGAAATAGCAGACGGTTCTTGATGATATTGGAGCACTGAAGTGTGCACACAGCAATGCTTCATTTACTGTGGTGTCTTGTAGTAAACACGCAAAGATAATACTGCTATTTTTTAAAATGGATAAATATAGAAAAAAGAACTTTTTATTGTTGAATGAAAGATAATGGGCAGCAAGAAATTCTATACGCAATATTATCCTCACATTTTAACATCTTAGGTGATGGAGTGGGGAACATGGTAACATCATTCTTTGCTTGTGAGGTACTTTGACCTTTAAAAACACTTTTCATTTTGTAAGGAAACTATTTCCTGTATTTTTCAGTGATAAAGGTGCTCTTTTTTCTTTTTTTTTTAAGACTGAAAAATGCTCAGGAAGAGCACAGTTAGTGCTGTCCTTCTCACCACATCCCAAATTTCTCATTAACAGCTACAGGTGGTTAGTGTGTGCAAGGAACTCAAGGCAGACACCTAATTCATGTGCCCCATGCAGCTCATTGGGTGATGTAAATGATCATACCTCATTGACTTGAAAGGGGTGTCAGCAGCAATGAGGGGGAGTGTTTGTGTCAGTGGGATCCTGGTTATGGATATGGCCACTGAGACAGAAAAAGGCTGAAGGAGGCAAGATGATCAATAGGTTAATAGTCAGTGGGTAATTTATTATCTGGTTTTATTTGTCTGTTATCCACTAATACCACCATTTATTATCGAGCATTGCTATATAACATAACATCTTCCTACCTTCAGTTTAGCACCTTGTTAATTTTGCTTTCTCCTCATTACTGGCAAGCTAAAGAAACATCTTTTTTCTTCTAGTGTGTAAAGTGATGAGGTAATACACAATCAAAGCAGAACTCAGTACATTTGAACTACTTTATTTTGTTTATTTTTTTTAGATTTCCAATAAAATATATGAGGAATGAAGTTCTGTTACCTCTAAACTATTTTTATCTGTGCTGCAACTGAAATCAATGTTTATGTGCATTGGCTCTCAATTGAACCCCTCCACCAGTTTTCTAATTTGTTTTGGGATGCATTGTACATCTTTCACCATTATTTGTTGACTCGTGACTCTTCTAAAATATGTAAGGGGCTGATTTTACAAGACCCTGAGTGCCCTTACTATCTCCAAATGTTACTATGGCACAGTGACATGGACATGGATCAGTAATTTAATCTATAGCTGCTTTTTCCTGGGCTCTTCTCCAAAATAACCTACTTTCTGGAGGTAACCAAATCAGAGCTACTCTGTGGATGTGTGTTTGCATTAATCTGGGGCCAGTATGCTTATAATTTGTTGTTAGACATGGGAGAAGTTTGCGTTGTCGTTATCTCAAACCCAATGATCTTTTCAACCAGCGTTTTCAGAGTTAGTTACTATTATCTATAAGTATTCGGAGTAATTCAAAAACATCTGAATGAGCATAGTTTGGGCACTCAAATTGCATTAACAACACCCTGCAGTGAGTTTGTACACTAGCCATATGTCTCTAATTAAGGTATCTTAGCATTTGTGTTTGCACACTAGAGGAAAAGAAATGCATACATCTTGGATGATAATTTCATCCCCCTCCCAATTGTGCCGCCATGTGCCATAATTAAGGATATGCACATGTCCTAACTGTGCATTTCTACTTTTAATATCTGTGGGTTTCTTTTCAGTATGAGTTTAAATCCAACTTGTAATGTTTGAATTGGGGATAATTGTAACAGTTAGGTTAGGCGCTTTATGGGGCACCGACAGTGCTGTTCCAAGCCAGACTGTCATTAGCTGGCTTCTGCCTGCAAACTCTTTTGATCTGGCTTTGGTTAGAGTCAGATATATTAATAAAACTCAAGCAAGTTTTATCATGTAATACTCCCAAATAATAGAAGTGGTTTTGGTTTTTTGTTTTTAATTTTGACTTTCCCAATCAGATTCATCAGTGTATTACTGCAAGATACTTATTTTGGAGACGTATATAAATTCTTGATCATATATTTTATTCAAAATAAGTGTATTAGATTTTGGGATCTCCAGAACAGTAATACAAATCTCACATTTTTAATACCCATTTCTCTGTTTTCTGTCTTCACATTCCTTTGTCTTTTTTTAGTCGTTCCATGTTTGCATAGTCCTTCGTGCTCTGTGTCTGCTTCACACTAAGAGACGAGCCTTGCTGCCTGACTTCCTGGCAGTTTGTGTACCTCTTTTCCACAGCTATTCCATTTTAGGTGCCAGTCTTGTTTTCCCACCCTTATTTTTTATTTCCTATCTTCACTGCTAAGATGTAAAGGAACAACAAAGTCTTGAAAATAAGTGTGTGTAATAACTGTGCTTCTATTGTGAGGCTGCAATGCAGTCTATTTGCAGGGGCCTGTGCATAAAGAAGTCAGCTTTACAGATACTTATTTGTTCAATATGGTCACTAAGTTGTATTTTGTGGTATCTGGCTGCTAGTAATTGACACGCTTCTAATAGAGTTCTGTCTTTTTACTTCATAAGAAAAAGGGATGAGATGCAGTTCAGCTAATCATGAAATGCAGCTTTGGTTTTCACACTTTTTAAAGTTCCGGTCATTGGGCCCTTTTTAAGGGTCTGTTCTGCTGCGTACCATGTAACAGCTGTATTTTATAGGCTGTATGCTCCTTAGCCCACTGGACTCTCGGTTTTGATGATCTTGAAACGTGGATTTATGGATCAGATACCTTCCTGACTGGATGGTAGCTCCAGCCATTGGCTCCTGCTTAAGACATCTGTGAATAAAGCAAACAATTTTCAAGTTTATTAAGCTGATACATTTAAAGAGACCTCTCTGAAAGGATTTTGCAGAACTGTGAAAGATTATACACTTCTAAGAGGTAGAATTTAAAAAAATAACTTCAGAGTAACTTGCTCATGTTCTTTATTTTTTTCCTAGTCTAATATTTTCATATGAATGGTGTGTTTACTATTGGACTAATGAAAATATGTTCTCTTCTTACGGAGCTCTGCATTAAAGTTCCCCACCTGGAGCTTCATAGTGTTACCTTATTATTCAGTACTCCCATTTACTCAGGAGTTACTGCACAGACTGCTGAAATGAAGATGCTTCTTAAGAAAATATGTAAATTGTTAGCGTATACTTCAAAATAATATTTGAAGGTATGATCCGAGGAGATCTTATCCACATGAAACTGCTGGGGGAACTTAGGAAAGAAAAAACAATTGGTAATTTGCAGTAAATACTCAAGTTATTGCTAGGACTAAACTATAAAACTGTACGTTCAATGCTGGAACTAATTCTAAAACTATGATAGGCCTCTGAGTGTAGGTCAGAAAAAGCAGGTTAGTCCCTAACCCGTATTTTCCATAACCCAGACATTTTCTTACACGTGCTTTTTTGTCTGAGCCGACATCGAGCCTTGAGTGGGGAGGAAGAGCTGGGGCCAAGGCCCCAGACTGGGCCAGACCCTATGTGACTCAGAGGGGCAGCACTGGCTGCTTTCTCCTTGCAGGCTCAGGTGCAGTCACAGCAATGCTCTCAGCAGCCCTCAGCTGCAGGTGGCTGAGGGCTTGTGATGTGCGGGCTGTTTGCCATCTCCTCCTGCAGTTTAACAAGAGCTAAATCCAGACTTGAACTCCAACCCCAAGTCTGGCTCATGCTTGAAGATATGCTAGATCAAACCTTTGATTTTCTCACACCATTTTTCTTGGCTGTAGTATTTGAAGGAAGCAAGCTGTATTGTACTGAAGCCCACACAAACTGTGCTTTCACTTGAGCCCTGGCCTTGTACATTAGAAGAACAAACTGGAAGAGTTTGCCTTTCTCAGTGTTTTGCTCACTTTTCTTCAAATTAAAGTTTTTTTTCCTGCAGAAGTGA